TACCAGGGAGTCTACATGTTGACGATCTCATCATGACAACAGGTTTTGGGGTATCCAGTTGTCGATGGAGTTCTCTCCCGTTGCTGATGACAGGATCCCATATTGAAACACAAGACTAAGAATATTACTATAAATATTCCAATTTGTGTAGATGCTATGCTTCAGTTCGTTTGAATGTACAGCTAGCAAGCACCCGGGTGTGCGACCCTGACCGTGGTAGTTTCCTCGGCCCTGTGTTATTGTTACAGGCATTATTTCAAGTCGATGAAAGTAACCCCTGTTAGCCTTATACACGGACTACTAAGAGGTCAACTCGAACGTGTAAAGTCAGTCACGATGTAAGAGCTGGGGAATTGCTCCATGTGACGTAGACAAAACAATGCCGTCGGAAAATGACATATGTGTTTTTGTGTCCCTTACAACACTGATGACGTCGGTATAAACTAAACACAAGTAGTACAGACACATGCCTAACGCTCACTGCAGTGCTGTAGCACAGACTTACATGCCTAACGCTCACTGCAGTGCTGTAGTACAGACTTACATGTCTAACGCTCACTGCAGTGCTGTAGTACAGACTTACATGCCAAACGCTCACTGCAGTGATGTAGTACAGACTCACATGCCTAACGCTCACTGCAGTGCTGTAGTACAGACACATGCCTAACGCTCACTGCAGTGCTGTAGTACAGACTCACATGTCTAACGCTCACTGCAGTGCTGTAGTACAGACTTACATGCCTAACGCTCACTGCAGTGCTGTAGTACAGACTTACATGTCTAACACTCACTGCAGTGCTGTAGTTCAGACTTACATGTCTAAAGCTCACTACAGTGCTGTAGTTCAGACTTACATGTCTAAAGCTCACTACAGTGCTGTAGTACAGACTTACATGTCTAACGCTCACTGCAGTGCTGTAGTACAGACTTACATGTCTAACAGCTCACTGCAGTGCTGTAGTTCAGACTTACATGTCTAAAGCTCACTACAGTGCTATAGTACAGACTCACATACCTAACGCTCACTACAGTGCTGTGAGTTCAGACTTACATGCTGTCAAAGCTCACTACAGTGCTGTAGTACAGACTTACATGTGACTAACGCTCACTGCAGTGCTGTAGTTCAGACTTACATGTCTAAAGCTCACTACAGTGCTGTAGTACAGACTTACATGTCTAAACGCTCACTACAGTGCTGTAGTACAGACTTACATGTCTAACGCTCACTGCAGTGCTATAGTACAGACTTACATGCCTAACGCTCACTGCAGTGCTGTAGTACAGACTTACATGCCTAACGCTCACTGCAGTGCTATGGTACAGACTTACATGCCCTAACGCTCACTGCAATACTGGTACCAGACTTACATGCCTAACGCTCACTACAGTGCTGTGCAGGTACAGACTCTCATGTCATGTCTCACTGCGGTGTTGTAGTACAGAATTACATGCTAAACTCTCACTGATAAATAGTTTCCATTTGCATTTGGGCTCATCTCGCTCTTGCGACTAATATACTCAGCATAAAAAAAAACGTCAGTACGAATTCAAAATTAGATAGGCACTGTAATCAAATCATTACAGAAATGGACCTAATAAGCGGATCAAAAACAGTTTTTGTGTACAATATCTTGACACATCAAGGAATAACTCAGCACAATTTCAAGACATTACGGGAACATTTGCAGTCCATTCAGACTCTTGACTTCAGTATCTAGTGTGACCACCACGAGCGGCAATAACTGCAGCACACCGTCTATGCATGGAGTGGATCAATCGACTGATGAAGGCCATTGGCACCTGGAACCACACTCTGAGAAGGGCCTGGCGCAATAAATCGGCTGTGTTCGGCCTTGGTATGACATTATTAATTCTCCTCTAAATTTCATCCAAAAGGTGTTTAATTGGGTTTAAATCAGGACAAAGGGCTGGCCACTGCAAAATGTAGTATGACGTGCGGGAGGCTGAGCTTGGTCGATGTAGCGCACCGCTGTGATGCCGCCTCCTCTCCCTGAACCACCGGACCCACTCTCTGGTTCAGGCCTCTTCCACCCCATACCATGATGCTTGCACCTCCCCATGAGTCTCTTTCCAAAACACATTGGTCTGAGTAACGCTGGCCACGTCGTCGCCATATTCTTGTTCTGCCATCTGCAGTTGATACGCAGTACCGACTCTCATCTGTGAACAGAAGTTCTCAATTGCCTGCATCGCCAGTTTTTGTGTTGTAGGGCAAACTGTAGACGTTCACGCTGATGACGAGGGGTGAGGATAGGTCCACGATCAGGTCTACGGCAATGGAGATTCCCGCTGTTAAGACGTCGGCGTACTGTATCAGTACTGATTGGTCTTCTGTGTGTTCCCACTGTCTGGCGTGCTGTTTCGGATGCCTGCATGAAGGGATTCTGTACATGCTGTCGCACAACATGGCCGTCTTGTCTTGTGGTCATCCTTGGTCTGCAAGTACAGGGGCGATCATTTGTGGTGTTGGTGGCCCGGGAACGTTGACCTGGAAGTGATTGGCAACGGCTTGTGCAGTGTGACCAGCTTCAAGTCTTCCTAGCGCCTGGTTCCTCTGAGATGTCGCGGCATCCTGCTAACGTTGTAATGTGAATGTTTCAACCAGGTTTCGGGTGCATTTATAGGGCTGGTCCCTTGTGAACAAACACGGTGCAGCATAAGTTGCATGGGAAACATAGAGAACACTGTACATCTCCGAGATGAGGTTGCGTTTTTAGACCATTTCCTGGGTTCCATTTTGAGTTTGGGAAGGAATGTCTTTGATCCGGTAAAGTTGGAGATGTAGTCAAAAAAAAATATACAATAAAAGCATTAAATGAGTTTACAGTTATCCGTTTCTGCGATGGGGAGTGTACAAGTTTTAAAGACACACAGACAGACAGGCACTGTTTGCACGGTTAATATCAAACTTATGCATTCAGATTTCATTAATTTGAATAAAAAGCAAAATCAACACAAAGCTACAAATTCTACAGTAAAAAAATGCAAGTTAACACTATACTGACCAGCCAAAAGCAGAGCACAGATTACAAAGGTTCATAACATTATGGCCACGTGTGTGAAATGAACAACTGGCGTTAAGTGTTGTTGCTTTGGGTTTTATCTGTTGTGGCCTGTTTATCTATACAGGATTTTCTCCATCTATCATATTTACATTTCTTAAGGTTCGGCAACCAATTGCAACCACTCCAGACAGTAGTAGTAGTGGTGGTGGTAGTAGTTGTAGTGCTCATCTGTTTCACCTGAGTTGAACCTGTCGAGCACCTGCCGTCACGTGATTTCCTCCCTCATCAAGCTGACATACCTTGTATTACTACAATATTATTCAAAACAACGTTTCTGACGCAGCAATAATCAACACAAAACTACAGGCTATGCAGTAAAAACACAAGTAGGCGCTCTACATTGGTCAAAAGCAGACCAAGGTTCGTAATATCATGTACACACGTGTGAGAAATGAACAAGTGTTTATCTGTTCCGGTTTGTTTATAAACTACGACATGCCTTTTGAGTGAGTGAGTGAGTACGTTTAGTCTTACTCAACTTTTAGCAATATTCCAGCAATGTCACGGCCGAGACAGCAGAAATGGGCTTCACACATTGTATCCATGTAGGGAATAGAACCCGGGTTTCCGGCGTGACGAGCAAACACTTTAACCACAAGGCTACCCCACCGCACAAGTCTTTTCTCCGTCTCAGCTGTTATATCAGGAGACCATATTGTTATGGGCCCCAGTTTGGTTTTACGCCGCTTTTAGCAATATTCCAGCAACATCACGGCGGGGGAGCAGAAATGGGCTTCACACATTTACCCATGTGGTGGAGAACCCGGGCCTTCGGCGTGACGAGCCAACGCTTTAACCATTAGGCTACCCCACCGCCCCTATTGTGGACGAGCACACTGCGACCAAAGATAACCAGTAATAACGATGTACAGAGTTGTCTCCCGTAACTGCGACAGGATCCTCCCTGTGAGACTTTTTACATCACATGGATCAGGGTTTGGCTGAAAAGAATGAGTATAAACACGACGATTGCTGTACATACAACTCTTTAATGCGTTCAAATTTACAGCTGGCAAGCACCCTGGTGTGCGACTTTGACCGTGGGGGCGTCACTTACTTTGTACATAAAGTTTAGGGGGTCATTCACATTGTACATGCTTCTCCATAAAATCATCATCACCCCCCCACCCAGCCCCCTGGCCATAAATTATGAACAGTCCCTATACATATTCCACAAAATAGACTTCCTACATCAATGTGCTTTAAAGTTAAAATCACTGGATAGCTTGTCCTATGATACCTGGGTAACAAAAGTTCTAAAGACACATCCAGTTTCAATATGGATTTGGTTATGCTTGGCTAAGCCAAGAAATTGGAAATGTGGAATATTTTGTGTATCTTTCAAGCTAAGGCTAGGTGATAACTTAAAACAATCTTGGTACTCATTAATCAGTGAATCTCTAAATGTTTATGTAATAAGGAGTTTAAAACTTTGTTAAATGTTAAAAGATACTTGTGTTGTGATATCCTTATGCATTTATGAATTGCTATATCAAGGTTTAGATGCAGTAATTTTAATACTGCGGTTGAGTGTGACAGGTATAATGGAATTGAATATAACGAAAGATTATGCCCTGTTTGTAAAACCAGAGGTCAGCATATTATATAGAAAATGAATATCATGTACTATTTATCTGTAATACCTATGATATACTTAGAACTAAATATATAACAAAGTTCAGTAAAGTACCACTTACTCGTTTACTCTCTTGAAAATCTTTTGCAAAGCAAAAATGATGCTGTTATATACAATGTTAACGTTGGCCTATACTTATACCATGTACAGAAATTGATGAACTCCAGGACATATTCTGCGCTGGCGCTGTACCTGCCTTCGCAGGTGAGGGAGCCCGCCAGGGGACCGCTTCGTGAGGAGAGAGGCAGAAAACCAGTCATTTCTAAAAATAGCAACAGCCACGCTGGCAACTCTGGTCGTGAAAGATGTTACCTTCACCCCGAACCTGAGAGATCGTAATATAGTGGTGGGAGGGACTCAAACGTAAGTAAATTCGAAGGTACAGAATGTCCACTCTTGGAGTTGTGTCTCGTTTGTTCGTCATTGTCGGTATCTCTCTCTCTCCCCGTGAGGGAACAGAACCCGCGAGGGGTGTAAAGGACAAGGTATGATAAGGGTGGTTTTTGGCCCACAAACAGAATTGGCTGAACACATTTTATTTGTTTAGAAACAAGATAGCTTTGCATACAAAAGCTATTTTTTTAATGATCTGAGGCCATAATTTCAATGAAGTGGGACCAAAATTGGTTTTATCAGTTCCCATGAAAAATAACAAGAAGTCTGAAATATCAGTGTGCCATAATGACTTATATACAACTATCAATTTATTTTACATACAAATAGTATCAGATTTACAACAGGTATTCATGATGAAGAAACATGTCACCCAATCACAAGGTTTTAACTTCAAGGGGCCCAATTAGGGTTGCAATTCATTGTGGATTGTAATTCAATTACTTGCCAATTGATTACAAAAAACTCATTATTCACAAGTTTCTTTGCAAATATAAACTGTAGGTCAATTTTACAACATGTACTTATGATAACCAATCATGTCCCACTAAAAGTCACAGGGCTTCACCTCAAAGGGGCCTATTTCAGGTGAAATTACATTCTAGGCACAGCTTGATTTAACACCATGTGTGTGTTAAAAGTCAGTATTTACAACATTCTTGCAAATATACAGTAAACATCTCATTCACAACATGTTGTTACAATAACCAATCATGTTGCACTAAAAATCAGGAGTTAAAAGTCAGTATTCAAAAATCTTCGAAAAGTACTTATTCACAACTCATTCACTGTAAAGATATATAAAAAATCCACTTTCACTCTTCATCCACATAGTTATCAATCTCTGGGGGCGGTGGGGTAGCCTAATGATTAAAGCGTTGGCTCGTCACGCCGAAGACCCGGGTTCGAATCCCCACATGGGTACAATGTGTGAAGCCCATTTCTGGTGTCCCCAGCCGTGATGTTGCTGGAATATTGCTAAAAGCGTAAGCGAAAACAAACTCAGTCAGTATCAATCTCTGAATCAGTTTCTGAATCACTGTCAAAACTGCAGCATTCAACCGTGTATCATATCACTAGAGTTACTGATTGTCTTGGTGTCTGCCATACCCAGATCAGTTTGAAAACAGATGACTTTATATCAAAAGAGAATTCTGTTTTAAAAACTTGTAATATTATAAATCTATTCAAGGGTAACATTACAATTTTCAAATGTCAGTAGTCTGGCTTTGAAGGCTTATGCAGATTTAATCACTACTGAGGCATTACTGGAATTCTGTCACATTAAATTAGAAAATTAAAAAAATAATAGGATTATATATGCTTCTTCAACCTCAAGTTTTAAGTTGTCATCTTCATGAAATGCCTGAAATCAGTCCAAGCAAATTTCTCTTATCTGAAAACAAATATTTGAAACCATAAAAGAATTATCTATATGTTCAAGAAATTGGTAATTGACTGGCAGCCCACAAAATATCCTTAAATCCAATTATTTGTTTGATCAGTACACCACTAATTAACAGCTCTGGAAAGTTTGTACCGAACTTGAGAATTTTTTCAATATAAAATTTGATTTCAGTAAGTTAAACTTTGTAAATTGGCTGACCAAGCTATTGAGAGAGAAAAAGGAAAAAAAACCCATCATGATTTGAACCTGCATGTCTGATAACAGAAAACATTGACAGGCCATCACTGTAACCACTAGGCTACAAATTCTACTATTACCTCTTGTCACTTTAAGCTTATTTATTACACCTTGCAACAATGTGTCACTTGGCGTCTGTTTCTTTTCATTGCTTTTCATCATCTGCTTGATACAATGTTCTTATTCTAACAATATTAAATGTAGCCTAATATACCCTAGAAAACACCAAGGTACATTATTTTTTGTTAAAATGTGTATGTTTATACACAGTTACATCCTGTGGAATGCCAGTGTTATTTGACAGTGCCAGTTGACAGAGAGGGTTTGCTAAACAGATGATTGACCAAATATGATAAAATTCTAGCATAATTTCAAAGATTCTCACCTTTAGTATGCTGCCTGATCATATTGTGAAAAATCTTCTGATGTCTTCTTACTTTTCAAGCAGAGATCAACATGGTCTCCAAAACACTACCCTTGTTTACCTCAAAGTAATCAGCCTTGAGAGTCCCTTACGATATTGAATTTTTTTAATAAACATGCTTGATAAGTTCATTTTATTCCTCTAAAACATCCCAAATAAATAATGAATCTGGTATAGTGTAAATGTGACGGATAGATTTCAGAGATATTACTTTACGCCAATGTTTATTTTTGAGATGTTGTATGGGGCAATTTCATATAGCAGAAAAATGTACACAGTATACTGACTCCGAGCCGACCAGTCCTTGTTGTACCCATTAATGCCGAGCGCCATGCAGGGATAAACAAGTACCATATCTTAACGTCTTTTGGTATGACGCGGTCGGGGATCGAACCCACGACCTTCCGCTCTCCGGGAGGACGCTCTAACCACTACACCTCTAACCACATCCCAAAATTGGGATGGGTCATGCTTTTGCTCACACTTTTTTATCACTCTGAAAGTATGAAAATGTAAGTTTTTCGAAGATATTGTACAACAGGTAAACTTTGAGGTCTTCAAAGAGGAAAAACAACACCACTAAAACATAAAAAAAGGCATATGGAGGTAATTTCAACAATTTATTTAGCATTTTTTATGCTAAAATTGTCATGTTGTAGAACTTTGAATATCATGAAATTTTGGGGGCCTTGTCCTTTATGTTCCTGCGTTGAGTGTGCTGCGCAGCCCGTCAGGGTGGCACGAACAGACAATTGTTCAAATATTTTTGTGTTTTCATTTTGTGTAATCATATTATAGCTTTAGGTCGTTGGAGCCTTGCCAATTTACACTTATCAGAGGGGTACATAAAGTCCACAGTCTAGACTAGCTGTCCGACTAGCGGTAGCTGAGAGTGTTAGGTGGCTGACTTTGTGTGCTGGCGATTTGGTGCCTGACACTGAGGGTGTGGGTTCGAATCCCGGATGGTGGGACTCAACCCAAAAAAGTACTAGAATTTGTACTTTATGAAGAAAGTGTAATCCCAAATATAACATCTGTTGCACTTGACCACTTTCTAAATGGCATTGTGTAATCAAATGTATTTTGGCACAATAAGTTTCCCTTGTCATTCGTTAATCTTCAGTTAAGTTATCAGTAATATCACCCCCAGTAAATGGAATGCAAGTGATATGAGGTAGAATGACAGTGTTTTCTTGTCAATAAAGTTATCAGTAATATCACCCTCAGTAAATGGAATGACTGTGATATGAGGTAAAATGACAGTGTTTTCTGTAAAGTTATCAGTAGTATCACCCTCAGTAAATGGAATGACCGTGATATGAGGTAGAATGACAGTGTTTTCTGTAAATTTATCAGTAATATCACCCCCAGTATATGGAATGCCAGTGTTTTATGTAAAGTTATCAGCAATATCACCCTCAGTAAATGGAATGCCAGTGATATGAGGTAGAATGACAGTGTTTTAGTGTTTTCTGCAAAGTTAAAGTTATCAGTAATATCAGCAGTTATCCCCAGAATACCGGTGATATGAGGTAGAATGCCAGTGTTTTCTGTAAAGTATTAAAGTTATCAGTAATATCACCCTCAGTAAATGGAATGCCAGTGATATGAATGGTGCAGTTTTCAGGGTAGAATGACAGTGTTTTCTGTAAAGTTATCAGTAATATCACCCTCAGTAAATGGAATGACAGTGATAGTTATGAATATGTATAGAATGACAGTGTTTTCTGTAAAGTTATCAGTAATATGTAAAGCATGATATACCACGACAGTGTTTTCTGTAAAGTTATTATCAGTAAATGGAATGCCAGTGATATGAGCTAGAATGACAGTGTATTTTTCTGTAAAAAGTTATCAGTAATATCACCCCCCAGTAAATGGAATGACCATGATATGAGGTAGAATGACAGTGTTTTCTGTAAAGTTATCAGTAATATCACCCCCAGTAAATGGAATGCCAGTGTTTTATGTAAAGTTATCAGTAATATCACCCTCAGTAAATGGAATGCCAGTGATATGAGGTAGAATGACAGTGTTTTCTGTAAAGTTATCAGTAATATCACCCCCAGTATATGGAATGCCAGTGTTTTATGTAAAGTTATCAGCAATATCACCCTCAGCAAATGGAATGACAGTGATATGAAGTATAATGACAGTGTTTTCTGTAAAGTTATCAGTAATATCACCCCCAGTAAATGGAATGACAGTGATATGAGGTAGAATGACAGTGTTTTCTGTAAAGTTATCAGTAATATCACCCCCAGTAAATGGAATGACAGTGATATGAGGTATAATGACAGTGTTTTCAGCTATGTTATCAGTAATATCACCCCCAGTAAATGGAATGCCAGTGATATGAGGTAGAATGACAGTGTTTTCTGTAAAGTTATCAGTAATATCACCCCCAGTAAATGGAATGCCAGTGTTTTATGTAAAGTTATCAGTAATATCACCCTCAGTAAATGGAATGCCAGTGATATGAGGTATAATGACAGTGTTTTCTGTAAAGTTATCAGTAATATCACCTTCAGTAAATGGAATGACTGTGATATGAGGTAGAATGACAGCGTTTTCTGTAACGTCATCAGTAATATCACCTTCAGTAAATGGAATGCCAGTGATATGAGGTAGAATGCCAGTGTTTTCTGTAAAGTTATCAGCAATATCACCCTCAGCAAATGGAATGACAGTGATATGAAGTATAATGACAGTGTTTTCTGTAAAGTTATCAGTAATATCACCCCCAGTAAATGGAATGACAGTGATATGAAGTATAATGACAGTGTTTTCTGTAAAGTTATCAGTAATATCACCCCAGTAAATGGAATGACAGTGATATGAGGTAGAATGACAGTGTTTTCTGTAAAGTTATCAGTAATATCACCCCCAGTATATGGAATG